ACAAAAAAAAAAAAAATAAAAAAAAAAATAAAAAAAAAACACATCATAGTAAAATTAATACCTTCACAGCTTCGCATCGAAGCTAAAATAATGATGAACCTCGGGAATGCAAACTTCGTCCTCGTGAGAAGCTATGTCGACCTAAACGGTATACATAATATTTTAAATTAATATATGTTTAATTTTATGCGTCATGAAATATTATATGTTTACATGTTTAATAATTATATATCATAATGATTAACATAATTTTATAATTCTATTTATAATTTTATGTATTTTTTTTTATATAAAAAAAAAATATTTTTATTTTTATTGTATTTACATTAAGGGGAGGATGTGGTGTACACTCTCTATATTAATCTCGTTGTTATCAGTTGCTGACCGGTATTCGACGAGACCGGGTGGTGTTGTGTGTTCTTATATTAAAATGTTATTATTTTAAAAACTTGTGTATTTAGTTTATTATAATTTAAGAGTAAAAGGATCTACAACAAATAGAACTAAATATTTCTAATGCTTAACTAATACTCATTAAATGCTCAACATAACTTATAAAAATGGCAAAGTTAATATGGTTAAATTATTTTAACTCAATTACTAAAAGTTATTTTATAATAACACTCCGTCTGATAAAATCAAAACATTTTGATGTTGATTTAACACTCGTCCAGTTAGTATCTCAATTAATAATAGTGTTTAAATCAAAACAGTTCTAATATTATAGATTGGCATTTAGTATTTTTATTAAAATAACATTTCTAATATTCACGTTTACATTCAATTTTTTTTTTTTTGGCTCATATTTACTTGTATTCGTATCAAATAGTCAGTATAAATGGAAATAACTATAAATTTGACATTTCAGCTTCAACGCCCCTAATTATTGTTAAAACAACACCGAGATTTCTATGTGTGTATGATAATTAAATTTAAATTGTGACATTATATAAATAATTAATTTTTTATTATTATACTAGATTTAAAAGTCTTGTCAATAAAGAATTAGGCTAAATTAATTATAATTTTTCGAAAAAGGGTTTAATAATAAATTTATATATCAAAAGTCTGACGGCGAAATGTCGTGTCGCGAAACGGTCAGTGGCAAAATGTCCTAGACCCTGTCGGTGTAACTGAATTTTGCAAATAAAACCGCCGGTAATAACAGTTCGTAGTGTATAAATGTACCAACTTTGCAACAGTAATCTGCAATTTGGACAATGTTCCCAGACGAGTCCAGGTGTTTTTTATACATACTCACAAAGCTTATAAAATTACTAAGTGGAGAAATGCGGTCGTCGCCATTAATAAGCCGAGTTGGTACGGCGATATATGTGACTTGGCGCGCAAAGTTGTCACTATACGTCGTCAGTAATTTGGATTTTTAAAGATGATCCGAGAAGAGTCCATGCAATTTTATTATACCATTAATAAGCTGATTAAATTTTACACAATATTATAATAACTACTAAGTGGAGAAATGCAGTGGTCGCCCTTAATTTTCCGAAATGGTACGGCGGTGTATAAGATAGTAAGTGAATATATGCTACCACCAGCCGTCAGATCTTTGTCATGTATACGACAATTGAATTGGTTTAATGTGAACTTTTTGCATAGACAATTATGTGTATTTAATATTTGTTGGCTACTATGTGGTATTATGTGGCTACATCTAGCGGTAAGAAAAAAGCGTTATACAGTATAATTATTTGGTAACCGAAATATATTAGTGATAAGAAGTTGATCCACCAAAAATTTCGTAGTTTCACGCTCGTTGCTCAATAACCTGTTGATAATATTTAAGTACGTAGCGTTACAGACATAATGGATAGTTGAAATAGTCAGTTTCTAAAGTTATATAGTTTTTTAACCGTTATTTAATAAGATTGCCTTAATCTAAAATTATTTATTTTTATTAAAGTGAATCTAAGAATTGTCATGTAATTTTGTAATATTAGTAAAATATGGGTATTTTGTTAATCACAATGCATTTTAGTTTTCACTTCAATAACATTCTATTAGCTTTAAATTTTTAAATATTCCTTATATTCATTAATATGATAAAAAGCCTATGCTCATCTCATCAATTTTTACTTTGTAATATGAAAATACTGTTAATTAATAATTTTGTTGAAACTCGTAAATTTTCAATGTATATTTTTAATGTATTATAGTTTCGAGGAATGTATCATCATTTGTATTACCCCAATCTCACTTAAAACTTAAAAAAATATGTTCAGAATATTCTGAAAGTAGTTTACGCCCTATCGCGGCTATACTTGATAAAAATCAACTATTTCCTTCTGAGCAAGTAAGATAAATGGAAATTTATGTTTTTCTATAGTAAATTATACTGATTTAAATAGTGTTTTTACTTATTAAAATTAGTATCCAAGATAAATGCAATACTTAAATATGTACTAGTTAAACATATTTTTCAGATCAAAGAATTGGGGGCCTTAGGATTTATGGGCATATTAGTTGAGAAAAAATATGGAGGCTTTGATGGAGATACTTTAGCATTATCTGTAGCTGTTGAAGAAATAGCTAGGTAATTCAACTTTAGATAAAATTATATCTTTAAATAAATTATGTATATTTTTTAATATACAATATGTTAATAAATCAATATATTGTTTTTTAAATTGCTAATTGAGCAATTTAGAATATACAAAAATTGAAGGAACACGGGGGAAAAATCAAAGATCCGGTGGTGGAATTTGAAGGGGGGAAATGAAAAAGAGTTTGTAAAAACGGTAAAAGAGAGGACGATGTGGAATGTTGAGAGAGACAAATGATGTGTGGAATAGATTTGCTAGTTGTGTAAAGAATTCCTCAAAGGAGATTGTTGGTGAGAGTAGTAGTAGTATGCCAGAAAACAAGGAAACCTGGTGGTGGGATGAGGACGTTTTAAAAAAATCATAGAAAGTAAGAAAAAGCAATTCAATGTGTGGCAGAGAGCAAAAGGAGAGAAGATTGGATGGAGTATAAACACTTGTGCAAAGAAACCAAGTGTGCAGTAAGTAAGGCAAAGTTTAAGAGGTATGATGAGTTATATAATAGGCTAGGAACAAAGGAAGGTGAGAAAGAAATCTATTGACTTGTGAAGTAAGAGATAAAAGGTCTAAAGATTATTATTATATAAGGTTTATAAAAAGTGTTGATAATAAGGTTCTCTCGAGTGTTGATGATGTGAAAAAAAGGTGGAAAGAGTATTTTGAAAAATTACTGAATGAGAAGTACCCAAAAGAGACATTAGAGGATATCTCATGGAATGAAGGACTGGTAGATTTAATTAGTGAGAAAGAGGTATCGGAGGCTGTGGCATCAATGAAAAAGAATAAAGCAGTGGGACCAGATGAAGTGCCAGTAGAATTATGGAAAATATTAGGCGGTGTTGGCATAAGGTGTTTAAAGGAACTTTTAAATAAAATCTTATTAGAAGGGAATATCCCAAGTGAATGTAGGAATAGTATTGTGGTGCCGATATTTAAAGGTAAAGGAGACATACAGGAGTGTGGATATTATAGAGGCATAAAGCTTATGAGTCATAGTATGAAAATTTGGGAAAAGGTAATAGATAAGAGAATAAGAAATGAGACATCGGTATCTAAAAACCAGTTTGGATTTATGCCTGGTAAGTCAACAATGGAGCCATTATTTTGTGTGAGGCAACTAATAGAATAGTTTAGGGAAAAGAAGAAAAAAGTATATATGTATTTATAGATTTGGAGAAAGTGTATGATAGAGTACCGAGAGAGGTTTTAAAGTGGTCATTAATGAGAAAATGGAAACCCGAAAATGTGTATTAATATAATATAAAATTTTGTGTTCTTTATTATTTTATTATTTATAATTAATAAATACAAATTAACACAATATTTAATTTAATTATTAAGGCATGTTACACACGTTAATCATAACCAAACATACAATACTTTTTCTTATCAACAATTACAAGTTTACAACGTATCATTAAATTAGTAGTTACCAACATAAAACATCACATCCTTCTCCACTAAAATTAAAAATATATATCCTTTAAGATCAATACTTATAAACTTAACAGTACAACAAAAAAATACAATATTTATAAAACTAACAATACTTATGAAATTTAACAAAATTTAATAAGTTAACAATATTTATACGTTAACAAAATTGATAAGTTAACAATACAACAAATAAGAAATACATTATTTGTAAGTTAACAATTTTACGGGTTTTTTTATAGTTCTTTTTGATCTTCTTAGTTTACTTTCTTTTTCACTTCCTAAATTATCACCTTCAACATCTTCATCACTATCAGCAAATGTTGCATCTTCAATATCATCTTCATCAATATCATCTTCATCTTCATCAATATCATCTTCTTTGTCTATCATCGTCCTCATCATCTTCATCACTATTCTCAACTTCAACTTTTTTGAGGTTTTTTGTTTTAGGCGAATTCTTTTCTACTTTATTATTGGAATTTTTAGTTTCAGAATTACCATCTTTAGGTTGACCACTCAAACTTTCAAAAGCTTCCTTTATTTTATTATACAAACTATCCAATATTTCACTCTCTGTATCCTTATATTGAGAAAATCCTTTCAAAATAAAATTCTTAAGTTTAGTTTCTTTTCTCGGGATTGAGTCTTGTTTTTTATAGTTTGCTAACAATTTAGCAATACCACTTTCTTTATCAGGTAAATCAGATTTATCAGCTATAACTTTGATAGCTTTATTCCAAAGCTCATTTTGTAAAACATTAATAGGACTTATAGATTTTTGTTCAGCTTTCACTTTTTCACCTTCTTTTTTCAATACTGCCGGTTTTATAGGTTTTACTTTTTCTTTAGCAGCACCTTTATTTTGAGATTTAGGTGATTTATCATTTTTCTTATAAGTACCTAATTTATCTGTAAAAACTTCTGGAAAACTACTTATTAATTCTTTTACATTACATGTAAAATCTTCAGTAATACTATTTATTTCAAGGTTAATATTTATTTTAATACCTAAAACTTTAATCCATTCATTTCCTAGAAGAGGCGGTCCACCGTTTTCAATAATATACAATGGTAAACTGAAATTTTTCTCATTAAATTTAACCTTCACCTTGATTACTCCAACTGGTACAATATATTCACCAGAATAGCTTTTTAAATTGATCTTAGTATCAACTAAGGGTAAATATTTAAAATTATTTCTATATTCAGAAAAAGAAATTGCTGAAATAGCCGATCCTGTATCTAATTGCATTTTTACCATTTTATTTTCAATCTGTACCATAATAAATAAATTTTCATTCTTTGAGCCTATCTGTTCAATTTGAAATAATGTATCAATATTTAAGTTATCATTATCTAAAAAATTATTAGATTCATTGACTTCATTGTCAGAAACTTTTCTATCCATTGTACCAATATAATTATTACCATAATTTTTACTTTTAACTTTAGAATAATGTGAAGACTTTGGTCGACTTTTGTCAGTTTTATCTTTAAAATAACAAACACTCTTTAAATGTCCTTTTTTATGACAAATATTACAATTACGGTCTTTAAAATAACAATTATTAAAAACATGATTCTTCTTACCGCAACAAGTACAAGTAACATTTCCTCCGTTGACAGTGATCTTGCCACTTCGGTTTTGAGCTGTTCGCGTGAACTTCTTGTTAGCAAAATAAATTTCTCCTTGGCATTCATTGCTGGATTGCCCAAAATTCTCCAAAATTTTTTCTGCACCTTCATGTGCTTGACATATTTCTTTCCCCTTCTCATATGTTAGGTCCGCTTCTTCGCACAGTCTTTTCTTCAGAGTTCTGTCTTTTACTCCGTGTACAATTTGGTCTCTTAAAGATTCTTCCAAATTATTTCCAAAATCGCACAACATAGATAACTTTTGCAATTTAGTCACAAATTCAGTTATTGACTCATTGCTCGATTGTAAGCTATTTCTAAATTTTGACCTTTCGGCAACTACCGAAACTTTTGGTTGTAAGTAATTTATCATATTACTTACTAATTTGTCATAACTTACATCTTTAGGCAAGGTAGGTGTGCACAAGGATTTCAATATCTTGTACCCCTCGCTACCAATTAAAGTAAGCAAAATACTTTCTTTATTTTCTTTTATTTTGTTTACTTGCATAAATAACTCTAGTCGTTCGACCCAACTTACAAAATCATCTTGAATTTTGTATTCTTCGATATTACCTATTTTAGCCATGTTGTGGTTTACTTTTATTTTTTTTATCTCTATTGATCCAATTACCTGTGCGTTTTTTATTGACTTACGGATCCCATCTTCGTCGCCAATTTTGTGTTCTTTATTATTTTATTATTTATAATTAATAAATACAAATTAACACAATATTTAATTTAATTATTAAGGCATGTTACACACGTTAATCATAACCGAACATACAATACTTTTTCTTATCAATAATTACAAGTTTACAACGTATCATTAAATTAGTAGTTACCAACATAAAACATCACATAAGATATGTATGATGTACCAGGGTAAAAAACGTAGGAGGAGTATCAGAAGATTTTCGGGTAAGAGTAGGAGTGCACCAAGGTTCTGCTTTAAGCCCTTACTTATTCTCTATAGTGATGGATGAAATTACTAGAGAAATACAAGGAAAGGTGTCGTGGTGCATGTTGTTTGCTGATGATATAGAGTTAATAGGAGAAAATTAATCGAAGGCTAGAGATGTGGAGATTAGCTTTTGAAGAAAAGGGTTTAAGAATAAGTAGAAATAAGACAGAACATATAGAATATGAGTTTGACAAAGGAAAACACAAGTAGGTGAAATGAGGAGATCAGTGACAATAGGCAAGGACGTGATTGGAGAGGTGGAAAGTTTAAAGTATTTAGGGTCAATTGTGCAAAAGAGCGGTGGTATTGACGAGGATGTAAGACACAGGATTAAGTATAGGTGGTTGAAGTAGAGAAGCATCTGACATCTTATGTGATAAAAGAATTCCAATGAAGCTGAAAGATAAATTCTACAAGATTGTAGTGAGGCCATCTATGATGTATGGTTCAGAGTGTTGGGCGGTTAATAAGAAAGTAAAGCAGAGAATGAAAATGGAAAAAAATTTTGTTTGATACATTTGTCAAATAACTTTATAGAAGAGAAATCCTCCATCGATTACGTACTTAGCACTGGTAATCCATATAACTTGTAATTAGGATATAAATAAGGAAATAGGAGATGATATAGCTTTTATAATAATCCATTAATATTTTAAAATTAAACACTATCTACATATTTGCATTAAGGCGTTTTTTTATGATAATGATTTTAATCACTGTCACATATCATCTATACTGAACCCAATTATACCTACTGTGCCAAGACAATAGAAGTTATTGAAAATAGAGTTATAACTTCATTTGACCTTTTAAATTTTATATCATGAAAGTTATTATCCACCATTGAGTTTACTAGAACAAGACCAATTTTATACACTTTATGACAATTAATTTTATCATTACCAGAAATTACGGCTGGGTTGACAAATGAGAATATGAGAAGATCAGTGACAATAAGTGAGAACGTGATTGGGGAGATGGAAAGTTTTAAGTATTTAGGATTAGTTGTGCAAAAGAGCGATGGTGTTGACGAGAATGTAAATAGAGTATTCATGTATTCAATGTAAGTAGATCAGAGAATGAGTGTAGCAGAGATGAGAATGCTTAGATGGATGAGTGAAGTAACTAGAGAAGATAGGATAAGGAACGAGCATATAAGAGGGAGTATAGGTGTAGCGTCAATCGTGGATAAGATGAAAAAATAGACTTAGATAGTTTAGTCATGTTATGAGGAGAAAGAAATCGGAAGCTGTAAGAACAGTTATAGAAATGAATGTTGAAGGAAGAAGAGGTAGAAGAAGACCAAAAAAGAGATGGAGGGATGCTATTGAATGCGATTTGAGGAAAGTTGATGTGAGCGTAGATTATGTGGGAAATTGTGTCAAGTGGAAGTTTAGGATAAGGGTGGCCGAGCCCAAGTAGTTAGGATAAAGGCGAGGAAGAAGAAGAAATTGCTAATTAAGGTTAAATTAGTAGACATAAAATTTAAAAATATCAGTTACTACTAAGTTTTATTAAGAATAATGTGTAAATAAAAATAATAAAGTATAAATGTTTTCAAATTTGAAGGAAGTATTCAGCTGGAAAAGATTTATCTGAAAAAACCTAAATCCTTAAATCTCAATTATTAAAAAGTTTTTTAGTAATTTTATATTTTTATAATATATGCAGATTTATCCATATTTATAGTTAATCTTTTATAAATTATTAAAAATATTTACTTTTGATACCATTTCAAGTGATAATAATTTTTGTATATTTTTTAAATATGATATATAAGTGAACCATTTGGTTCTGTATATCTTGGTAGGAACACATCATTATTTGGTTATAGATTTTGAGGTTTAATTCCATACTGCCAATCTCTATAGATTTTACCGTCCTTTCTAATGCTAGAATTAAGTTTCTTAAAAAAGAAAAAATTCAAGGTTTTCTTCTTATTAAAATCTTTTTTATTATTATTTTCCTAATAATTTTATATATAATAATTTAATTATTTGTTATTCACAATAATTTTTTTAGATATTGTGGTGGAACTTCTTCAATTGTAAGTATTCACAATGCTTTATATGCAGATACTATCAATAGGTTAGGTACAATTGAACAAAAAAATAATTTCTTGTCAGATTTTGTTAATGGAAATAAAATTGGATGTTTTGCACTTAGTGAACAAGGTAAAAGTACTATTATGTTATATTTTGAAAATGTTTATATTAACACATAATTTTAATTAGATAGTGGTAGTGATGCAGCCAACTTGAAAACTACTGCAAAAAAATGTGGAAATGAATGGATATTAAATGGTACAAAAGCTTGGGTAACAAATGGTATTGAAGGTGAGGCCTTTATTGTTATAGCTCGTTCAAATGAATCAGGTGGTCATAATGGAATATCAGCCTTTCTTGTTCCATCTAAAATAGCAGGTGAAAAAATTTTTTACTACATTAACAAATTTTTAGTTTTTATTGTATAATAAACATCTTGTTATTTATTAATAATACAATAAATATTATTTAGAGTGATTTTTTAAAAAAATGTTCAATAAAAGTACTCTGTAACAAGACTCTAGGAAAATCATTAGCGAGGGTCTTTAATTGTTGTCAATCATGCATAATTATTATAAAATTTTGACCACTTTATAATTTAAGGTTTAAAATTTTCACCAGATCCTCCTGAAGACATTTCTGATATATAAAAAAAATGAATTCATCCGTTAATTTTTTACTGTTTTACAAGCTTTAGTTTTTTTTCACGGTCATGTTTTGACATTAATATTATTAATATAATAATAAATAGCTCATTTTTGTTCAATTGTCTGTAGTACTAACACAATTATTATAATTAGACTATTATTAATTATTGTGTATACCAGGGGTGTATTTAAGAGGTATATGGTGATTGCCCACTTAGACCAGCCCTATCAATATTTTTTTAAGTTGATACTTAAGAAATATGGCTCTAAAGATCTTTTTTTTATCATCGCTATGATTTTTAAGAAAAAATTTTAAGTAGCATGTTCACCAAAGTAAAAATATTATATAACCTCCTAAAATTATTTTTGAATATCCCCCTGATACATACCTCAGTAAACCAACATGATTATTATACCAAATACATTTTACTATTTTTGCTTTTTAAATCTTTCTGATTAAATAATTTAATTTTTAATATTTTTTAAATTACACTGATGATTCTAATGTAATATTTTTCCTGCAAAACAATTATCATGCCCAGTGTAGCCGGGTACTGTGTACTTCTACCGGAATCAGTGGTCTATTTAGTGGTAAACCAAACCAACCAACCTTAGACTTGGAGCATTGCCTAGACTCTAAAATTATAAGAATATAAAATACAAGATTATGTAAAAAAAAACATTCTTACAATACAAATTTTAATGTTTATTTTTTATGAGTTTGATCAAAAAGTTTAAATTATATTAGTTAGTAATTTTTTGAAGTGAGTGGAAATATTATTTAACAAAAATAAACATAATACTTAAAATCAATCATGTAAATATGATTTTTGGTTATAATTTGAATAAAACCTAACCCAATTATTTTAAATCTTTGTATAGTAATTTCAAAAATATCAAGAATGATAATATATACTTTCATACTCTAATAATAAAATATTATTCATTGAAATAGTAATATATTTGCTTTAAACTATTATTATTTATTATGACATATAAATAATTACAGGTTTATCACGAGGTAAAAAAGAAGATAAACTGGGAATCAGAGCATCATCGACATGCAATATTATATTAGATAATGTAAGGATTCCTAATGAAAATTTATTAGGAAATGAAGGTGAAGGATTTAAAATAGCTATGTCAGCTATTGGTAAATAATTTTTTATCATAAATATAAAATTTAAATTAGTCGTGGATTCAATCAAAAAACATTTATTTATATTATAGATTAAAGAGTTCTAACAAATTGATCACAAGAACTTATTTTTTAAGATATTTTAGCTAAAAATAAACATTATAATAGTAAATAATACAGGTTCATAAGCTTATAAAGTACTCTTCTATATGTTGAATCAATCACTACTTATTTTCAATTGTGTTCTGAAAATTTTTTTGAAGAATTTAAAATAATAAATTGGCATAAACTAAAGTTTTTAAACACAATATGGTATAGTAAAGAATTAAATTAATGGATGTTAGTATTTTTTCTATTAAATAACTTATGTAAAATATCCCCTTTGTGATTTGTAGACATCATAATATGCTGTTTAAATACATAATTTCGCAATATAGATAAATATTTATGTATTAATGTATTAATGTACTTTTTCTATTTCTTTTAATTATTACATTTAAAAAATTCTATATTTTAATTTACTTTTGTATTATTTGTCATCAAATGTGTGTTTCTAAATTTTCTAAGATTTTTAAATATCTTAAATTTTTAGTCCTAATACACAGGATAATAAAAAAATTAAAATATCATTTTATACATTATTTAAAATAACCTGTATAGAACTTTGCTGCTGATCTTAAAACTATTTTCAGATTTCATTCATCGCATTTAGTTTCTAAGATAATTACTAATTAATAATTAAGCATTACAGTTTGATATAAGATTTTTATGTGAGTTTGACTAGTTGTCTAATAAAAACTCTTTATTTTTAATTTCCACTTTTATTGTTTCAAGAATTGAAGAATTTAAAAATGTACCATCTTTAATTTTTACTTTTGTAAATTGTAGACATTTTTTCACAAAATCGTAATTATTAATCTTTTTATTGAACTCTTATTTTGTAATTGTTATTGGGTAATTAGTTAAATAATTAAACAAATAACGAACAGAAATAAATCTAATTATATCACTGTACAAAGTTCTTCAAAATATATGTAAATTTATGAAATAGATTTGCTTAATTTATATATAACTGATGGGAAATCATTTATAAAAAAATAACAGACATTTTTACAAATTATTAAAAATTTACACAAGTTTTTTTTATTAATTGCAATTTTATCAGGTTTTTATTACTAATCATTCTAAAAATAATATTTTTAAAATTCTTATATTTTGTTATAAAAATGCTTTATGGGAATAATTTTATAATTTTAGATCTTGCTAGAATTGGTATTGCATCACAAGCCATTGGAATATCAGAGGCAGCTCTAGAATGTGCTATAAAATATGCTGGACAAAGAATTGCTTTTGGAAATCCAATTATTAATTTAACACCAGTACAGGTAAAATTGTAAATTAATATGATGTAACTTAACTATTTTTTTTTAAAATTACAACTATAATTTTAATTGTCTATATACAAGGTAATATTTTACGAGGTATTCATTTTGTCACATAAACCATTATTTATTGACTAAGGTATTGCTTATAATCCATCATAAAAAATCTTATGTTTAATAATTTATGTCTATTAATAGCTATATACTCATATATTTAAACTTTTGGTTTACCAGTGTTAAAAACTTTTCTAGATAACTTCCTCAATAAATAACTTAAAGGCAATCAAAGGAACAGACTATAGCTACATCCAGTCTTATGTAAAATAAATTAATAATAACTCTTTACTTAAAGTCCAAATCTTTAAACGATCTTAAAACTCTAAAAAATCATAAGAATAATTGTTAGAATTTTTTTCTATCATATTATAAGATAAAAAATATTGATTCTATCATTATAGAAAATTAATGAGGTTTTTTCCCTTAAGGTTATGAAAAGAAAATTATTTAACTACATAATATTGTAGTTTATTAATCCAAATTATTTTTCTCTTCACAAAATTAAAAATGTTCAATAATTTTTGAGAATAATAATGTCTTATTCGAAATTTATCATCTTATATAGAAATGCCCCACTTGTTCTGATAATTTTTGATTGAGCAAATATTTGGTATTTCTTTGTTAAAAATGTCAGAACAGGATGAAGCATTCTGTATACATATTTATGTTATTTTTATACATACAGTATATAAAGTAATCTATTTAAATAAAATTTATTAAATTACATTTTTATTTATTAGATAAGACTTGCTAAAATGGTTACTAAAATTGAAGCTTCTAGACTATTGACTTGGAAAGCAGCAAAACTAAGGGATAGTGGTCAAACATTTATCCAGGTATTTTGTTTGATCTATAAGTTAATAACACTATGTTATCTTTTTAACATTTTAAATTTATTTAAGGATGCTGCAATGGCAAAACTAGTTTCATCTGAAACTGCTACATTTGTTACTCATAATTGCATTCAAATACTAGGTGGCATGGGATATATAAAAGATTTACCAGCTGAACGATACTACAGAGATGCTAGAATCACAGAAATTTATGCTGGCCCAACTGATATACAATTTTTAGTTATAGCAGATAATTTAGCAAAAAAATATGGGTTTAAAATTAGATGATCTAATTTATATTCAGTTTTTTTTTTTATATATTTTTAATGGTTTACTTTTATATTATACTATTTATGCTTGTTATTTTCAATGAATATTTAATTATAATCAATATTAATACACTACTGTGTATTTTAATTTTTTTTATCATTAGAAAAATGTTTATACTCTTTTTTTCTTAATAGATTATAAACAAAGTATTCAAGTTTTACTATTAAATTAAAGTTTATTTTAAAAAACTAACAGAAACAAATTTATAAACTATGTTTAAAAGTGGCTAACAATTTTTTTCTTCTTTCGATAGCTTCTTGTTTTGCTTGTTTTTTATTTTGAGCTTTTGTAATTAAGTCTTTAATAACAAATTCTGGCAAACGTTTTCCTCTCCATCTATTGGGCAATATTGTCATGTTAACAATATTCAGTTTTTCTTGAACATACTCCACAGGACTAAATTTTTCAGCTTCTTTTATCTAATTTTAAATGAAAATGGATAGTATTAAAGTTAATTAGTGACTTTCAAGCTATAACATTAGTAACATAAATAGTATAATACCTGTCCTAAAAGTTCTGCTTGAAAAGCTTTTTCCTTTCTCATTTCTCTTTTTTGACGAACTTTAGCCCATACATATTTCATCCTTTTACGTAACTTCCTAAGTTTATGTTTTTTCATTTTTTTACGGCGGATAACTATTAATCGTGCTGCTTGTATTTCATTTATAATCGGATTTAAAGGATTATCAATTAAAAGTGATTTATTAGGCTTTGGACTTATAAGAGGTATAGAAATAATTGGTTTTTCTATAATTTTCTTTATTGGAACAATTGGTATATTAATAGTAATGGGAATTCGAGGAGGATATATAGGCGATTGAACACCATTACTAATTAATCTGATATTTGAGGTCAAATGTCTATTAGCAGTAGTTTTAACTGAAATTAAAATTAAATGTTATCACATAATTAGAAAAGATTTTTTTTCCAAAATTATATTTGTAAAATATATAATAGGATTAATTAATTTTACAATAATCATAAATTTAAGACTTCATGCTAAATATCCACGCATACTTCTAATATATATAATACATATTTAAAACAAAAATTTCTCTAAAATTGAAATAACTTCAACAAATACAAATAAAATATTTAAAAAGATATAGACAAAATTAAAATTGTTTTTCTCTTGTAATCATTAGGTTTAATAATGAAGACCTATAGTCATTGTCCTATCTTTTATAACTCATTAACTAATGGGCAGTAATATTAAAATAAATGTATTTTTTTCAAAATATTAGAATTTGATAAAATGGTTGATTAGGTATTCAGAATATATAGAGAGAATGATTCACTTACTATAAACCACTTAATTAAAAATTTTAAAAACTGTAGCACAGCGTGGATGTGACAAAGTTGGAACAAATATAGATGACTTGTGACTAATACAAATCTGTAGATAATGTTTAATTTTAAGAAATTAGTGAATTATTCCAAAAGAAAAATTAACTCCTATATTCTTAATTTTTCCTAATTAGTAGTTCTATGATTTATAAGAATAATATGATAAAATGATATTCCATAATTTAGTATATAAAAACTGAAATTTTTACGTAGAAATAATAAAAAATTATAAAGTAGTTGTTACTTTTATAGCAAACATGTATAAAAATCAAAGGGTTTGATACAAACCCTTTCAGAAGATAATTTATTGTTAATTATGAATAAATGGTCTGTAAGGAATTTTCATCAGAATCAAAAATTTACTTTTTTTGGGTAATATTTCACACTGATATCATATCTGCAATGAGATTTTTTCCATTACCACTAATTTTTGATATCATTACTAATTAGTTAAAAATGAATATTATGATATAAAAAAATTTAGGTTAAAATGAAATTCAATAACACAACAGCGGATAAAATCATAGGTGAAAATTATTTAAATTATTTCAACAATGAAATAATATAATTCACATAGGCATTTTCAAAAATAAATTTTCCAAATACTGATAAAGCAATATTATATGCACAATTAATACGCAAAAAAAACCTTTAATTATTTTTTATAATTTGGTTTGATTGGCCAAATATTCAATAGGTTATTAGTTAACGGTATTTAGAATATTTACATATAAAAAAAAATAGTATCAGAATATATATTTTTTTAAGAATTCAGAATATCATAAAAATACAAAAAAATATTAAGTTTTTTTGAATAATATTAAAATAGAATAAAATAAAACAATATATATAATAATCCATTACTTCAATTCAACAAATAAATTCGAAAACGTTTGGTTCATTTATTTAGTTACTTAATAATTTTATATTTTCTACTTGGCCTATAAATATTTGTAAAATTATCTTACGATTTGCAAATCCTCGAAATAGTATTCTCAAATTATTAATCATTATAACTTATTTAGGCTAAAATTTTAAATAAGAAAGAATACTATGCACTCATTATAAATTATTTATTTAAATATTGAATATCTACAAAAATCAAATAATAATTCCACATTATGAATATTAAAACATGACGAACTTTAATAATGGTTATCACAAATATTATATTCTGTGATAATTCAACGTTATTTATCACAATTATATAGATAGTCTATATAACCAGAATGTATGAAAATACAGTTTGTCATATAACCGTGTTATTAGCTTCGATGCAAAGCTGAGAAGGTATTAATTTTACTATGATGTGTTTTTTTTTTTTTTTTTT